AGGCGAAACCTCGAGGAGGCATCCTAGTAGCTCGCAGGTATATTAAGGTCAGTACTAACAGTTGAAATATACAATCAGTATGCCAGAAAAAATATCTATTTACATGAACAGGAGCCACATGGAATCGTTGGGTAATGATGACGTTTCTGTTGTTCAAGCCCGCAAGTAAGAGATTGTTAGGATGACATAAAACAAAAAATACCCGAAGGGACCGCTTAGGTTGATTTTGTGACACTTGTTGTACGATACTCTTCGATACTCTTTTGCGTTAAGATGGCCCGAACCTATTTATATGCGTATTGGTTATGTTTTTGATTTGCGTTTTTCAGAATGAAAGATTCAACCGATTTCTATGGTTTTTGGCATTCTTAATAAATAATAATGGAACTTTAAGAAAATGTTGTTGGGTATAAAAACCTTTGAGATATCGGTATATATTTAAAACCACATTTTTACGAAAAATGTAAATAACTTCGAAATCCCACGACAGATTTTTCCCTAACTTCAGCAAATAAGCCTCAGAGCTCTCTAGTTTTACATCTGCAAGTTTGAAGGCAATCGTGACGGTAGAACTCGCTGCACAAAATGCTGCTCAAATTTAACCTTAAAATGCTACGCTAACACATTTGTGAAAGTTGACGCACAAATAGAGGAAGACAGCCGACAGACTNGAGGAGGCATCCTAGTAGCTCGCAGGTATATTAAGGTCAGTACTAACAGTTGAAATATACAATCAGTATGCCAGAAAAAATATCTATTTACATGAACAGGAGCCACATGGAATCGTTGGGTAATGATGACGTTTCTGTTGTTCAAGCCCGCAAGTAAGAGATTGTTAGGATGACATAAAACAAAAAATACCCGAAGGGACCGCTTAGGTTGATTTTGTGACACTTGTTGTACGATACTCTTCGATACTCTTTTGCGTTAAGATGGCCCGAACCTATTTATATGCGTATTGGTTATGTTTTTGATTTGCGTTTTTCAGAATGAAAGATTCAACCGATTTCTATGGTTTTTGGCATTCTTAATAAATAATAATGGAACTTTAAGAAAATGTTGTTGGGTATAAAAACCTTTGAGATATCGGTATATATTTAAAACCACATTTTTACGAAAAATGTAAATAACTTCGAAATCCCACGACAGATTTTTCCCTAACTTCAGCAAATAAGCCTCAGAGCTCTCTAGTTTTACATCTGCAAGTTTGAAGGCAATCGTGACGGTAGAACTCGCTGCACAAAATGCTGCTCAAATTTAACCTTAAAATGCTACGCTAACACATTTGTGAAAGTTGACGCACAAATAGAGGAAGACAGCCGACAGACTATCTCCTGTCTGAAAGGATATTCCTACCTAAAGCTTTATTGCAAGAAACAGAGTAATCAGAAACTTACGGCGAATAAAATTCGAAATTCGAAATTCGAAAAAAATTATCTATGACCAGCTATATCAATATCTGAAAGAAAATGGTTCATTAAACGCGGCCAGTTTGGTTTCCGCTCGCTACACAGCACTCTTACTGCCTTGTTGGAGACAAACGATAACTGGTGTGTCAATGTTGATAGAGGTCTTCTTAATAGTGTAATCTTTATTGATTTCAAGAAGGCCTTTGACACTATTGACCACGAGATAATTCTAAAAAAAAACTTACTAAGTATGGCGTTGATCAAGACGCCCTGAAATGGTTTAAATCTTACCTAACTCACCGTATTCAAAGGTGTAACGTAAACAATCATCTATCTAGCGCGAGCCCTCTAAATTGTGGCGTACCTCAAGGGTCAATAATCGGTCCTCTTCTTTTCTTAATCTATATAAATGATCTACCAAATTGTTTGAATGTGGGCTCTCCCAGAATGTATGCCGACGACATTAATGTTACCTTTTCTGCAGCTACTATAACTGATCTTGAGTCCCAAATCAATAGTGACCTGAACTATAATGATCGCTGGCTCAAAGCTAATAAGTTAAGTCTCAATGTCTCCAAAACAGAGTTTATGGTTATTAGCTCGAGGCAGAAACTACAGTCCTTAAATGGCTGCACAATGAATATTCATAAAAACGGCGTTCCATAAACCAAAGCAATCAAAGCAAATCTCTCGGGCTTATCATTGATGAAAATCTCTCGTGGAAGGCCCACATTCATGAAATCTCTAAAAAAAAGGTATCTTCTGGTATGGATGCTCTTAAGCGGGTCAGGCTATTTTTTTTAGTGCACACTGCAATTCAAATATTAGCCTGTTCCAGGCGTTCAGATAGTGGGGAGCGGTGCGAAGTAAAAAGGAGCGCGAAAAAATAAAAGCGAGGGAGGAGGAGAGGTGAGAGAGGGAACGCCTGTTAGATTTGTTTTAAATAGACTCATCCGCCCACTCAGACCGCATCAGCTGTAGGTGGTCTTCACTTATCAATCAAGACTGATGTTACAGCTCCATAAATTTATTATTTTTCTTACGAATAAATCAAAATTTCTCAGATCAAAAATTAATGTTATGTATATATAATCGTACTAAAAACCTAATGTAAGACTTTCAGACAATAGAGAGCGGGAGAAGTAATTTATTTACGGCTTTAAAACATGATTTCAGCGTGTACGTGACAAAAAAATTATGAATCAAGTGACAAACAAATATCGCTCATTTCGATAGAAAGCCGTTTCAATACAGATCGTTAACTCGAGCAATGAAAATGCCCAACAAACGAAGGGAAAATTTACTATTCGGTGATTGAGTGGACCTCGTCAATAGCGATAGCAGCAACTTGCTTTCCAAGCTTTCCTTTTGAAGTCCTTTGGTCCATTCCTTAGACAACCACGATTTGTGACTGCAGTACGCCTTTGAGTGAATTTTGAAGGATCATACAATTTCACAGCTTCCACTTTTAACTGCTTCGTCCACATCTTCTCCCATCATTGCCGCTACTACTCCGATTTTGTTCAAATGTTCCACTTGGTCTTTCATGATGGCAATCAACGGAGTTACCACAACAATCGTAAATGGCATTCTATCCTGCCTTCATTCCAAAGCACGCTTTATTCGAGGAAAAAGCTGGAAAATAAGTCTTTTTCCAAAGCCAGTCGGTGAAATTGCGAAGACATCTATCCTGCCGACTACGTGTTTTAAACAGTTCCTTTGCTCTTCGCGTTTAGCCTCCACGATTGGAAAGTCACTCAGCGCTGTGTTTGTTGCGAGTTCGAATTCTGGACGGGACGTAGAGTCTGTCATTACCGCCATATCGCATTTCTCGCTGTGATCGAAGACGCTCCACTGTTGACAAAACCTGTCAAAATCAACCAATCAGAGGGTATACCAAGATCTGGTATACCGGAACGCACTTTTGTTAAAAATTCTTACAAGCGTTCCCGCACCTCTCTCCCCAGTCCCCCTCTACTTTTCGTCGATTTCTTCACTTCGCACCGCTCTCCACTATCTGAACGCTTGGAACAGGCTATTCAAATATACAAAGGTCTTATCGAGCCACACTTCGATTATTGTAGCGCTGTATGGGATGGCTTGACCCAACAGCTTAGTGAGAAACTTCAAAAACTTCAAAATCGTGCTATCACAGTTATCACCAAATCTAGCTATGATACTAGTTTTAGATTTCTTCTTAACTCGCTCGGTTGGGACAGTTTATCGGTTAGAAGGGCTAAACATAAGGCTAATTTAATGTACAAGTGCATTAATAATCTCGCCCCAGTTTATCTCTGTAATTTGTTTACCCCAAGAACACTGAATTACTATTTTCGCAACGCGAAGGAAAATTAATGCTCATAAAACCAAGAACTGATTACCTGAAGCGTAGCTTCAGTAACAGTGGTGCTCTTCTATGGAACAATCTTTCTGAGGAAATACGTGCATCAATTTCCTTAGGTTTCTTTAAGAGAAGTTCCCATAGATGGTTTTCTGATCAGTACTCACTCCAACACGGCAAATATGTAAAACAGTTTTTGAGAATTTTTAATTAGTTTTCTTTGTTAGACTGATGTTTTTAACCGTGTATAAATAAAGTTATCATTCATTCAATACAGTTAGCACTTTAAGAAGAACAATTTTAAGCTGAGTGCGCGGTGATATTAAAGAACCTCTATTCATCAAACTTACTTTGTATTTGTCCCTCTCTTTTGGAAACAAATCTTAACAAAGCAAAATATAGCGTCTACGAAAAACTGTCAAGAGTTTTTAGCGTCGCAGGTTGCCGTTTTGAAGAAATATAAGGCCACCTACTCCAGTACTTCTAACCATCCATTTTTCAGCTGCAATGAAAACCCTTGTATTTGGTAATTTATTGACGCTTTTAAGACTTACCTTCACATTTGCGCGGGCAGTTTGCTGTTGGGGATAATGAGAAGAATAAGACGATTGTCATATTTGTCTTCATCCTTATTCCCAAGTGGTAAACTTCCCGTGCGAATGTGATGGCAAGTCTAAAAAGCTTGAATAAATTACCAAATACATTAAGGGTTTTCATTGCAGCCAAAAAAATGGATTGTAGAAGTACTGGAGTTGGTGGCCTTATTTCTCTTCAAAACGGGAACCTAGACGCTATATTTTGCTTTGTTAAGATTTGTTTCCAAAAGAGAGGGACAAATACAACGTAAGTTTGATGAATAGAAGTTCTTTATACTACCGCGCACTCAGCATAAAGTTGTTCTTCTTGTAGTGCTAACTATGTTCGCCGTAGGTTTCTGATTACTCTGTTTCTTGCAATAAAGCTTCATGTGGGAATATCCTTTCAGATGGGAGATAGTCTGTCGGCACTCTGCCTCTATTCGTGCGTCAACTTTCACAAATGTGTCAGCGTAGCATTTTAAGGTTAAATTTGACCCGCATTTTGTGCCGGGGTTTGTTGAGAATATATACTGAGTTGTTGAACATGTGCTCGACTGTCGTGTCTTGCTAATTCACTTTGTGTAGAATAACAACCCATTACATTGGCAACGAGTACGGGACGTCGTTGCAAGTAACTCGAACAGTCTTTGTGACAGATTTGCCGATTTTATGATGGCCTCCGCTCTTCCAAACTTCGATCCTTTTGATATCCATGCTGATGGTGCAATCGCTCAGCGCTGGCGAAAGTGGATCAAACGTCTTGAAAATCTGTTCGTCGCTGTTGCCATCACTGATAAGAAAATACAGCGAGCTTTGCTTCTTTACTACGCCGGAGAAGAGGTGTGTGAGATTTTTGAAACTTTAATGGACACAGGTGACGATTTTGCAACGGCGAAAGAAAAGCTCACGGAATATTTCGATCCGAAGAAGAATGTCGAGTATGAAATTTACACGTTTCGGCAAGCCCGACAGAACCCAGGCGAGTCCATGAATGCATTTCACTCTCGTTTGCGTCAATTATCTGCTACTTGTGAATTTGATGACGTCGACAAGGAAATTAAATCGCAGATTATTTTATCCTGTTCATCACAGCGTCTTCGTCGCAAGGCTTTGAGAGATACGACCATGACACTTGAGACCTTATTGAATGAGGCACGAGCTCTGGAAATCTCGGAAACGCAAGCAAAGGATATCGAATCGGCGGGAAATGCGGCTAACGCTGTGCTTCCTACTCCATCACAGCCAAAGAAAAATTGTTTCAATTGCGGTGGAATTTGGCCACACGACTCGAAGACTGGTTGTCCCGCGCGAAATCGCAAGTGCAACGGCTGTCATAAATATGGTCACTATGAGAAATGCTGCACGCAAAAGTCACGTGAGACCCGAAACTCCCGGAAAGGAAAGCAGCCCCGTGGACGTGGTAATCCCAAGGAAAAGAAAAAACAAAATGTTAACCGATTGAAAGCAGAATGTGAGTAACGTGAGACCTTGTCAAGCTCTGATGACGCGTATACATTCAGGTTAGAAGCCCCCGCCTCGAAGGTCAGTGCTCCTTTTGTCTCTTCGAAAGTGAACGGTGTTGCGTGCAAGTTCTTGGTAGACTCTGGGGCGAGTGTAAACATTGTTAGTTCCAATGCAGTTAAAGTTTTTGGTGTCGATCTGCAACCCGGCGGTACAAGGGTCTATGCCTTCAATTCATCTGCCCCGCTTTCCCGTGATAGGCAAGTTCTCAGCCCTCATTGAATCAAAGTGTAGTGCAGTCGACGCTGAATTTCTTGTGGTGGAGATTGAAACTTCTCTTCTGGGATACACCACGGCCACAGAGTTAGGAATACTTCAGATTGCAAATGCTGTATCAGTGGAGAAAAACGTATTCCAGCGGTACCCTAGTCTGTTCACTGGTCTTGGAAAAATGAAGAATGTTGAAGTTAAGCTGCATATCGATGGAAATGTGAGTCCTGTTCATCAAACACATCGAAGAATTCCTTTTCACCGACGCAAAAGCCTAGAGGCTTGTGTAGAGTCCTTGCTTCAACAGGATATAATTGAGCCTGCTGTTGGTCCAACCCCCTGGGTGTCTCCCGTTGTCTTAGTCCCAAAGCCAAAGCAACCTGATGGTGTTCGCTTGTGCGTAGATATGCGTGAGGCAAACAAAGCTATCTCGAGAGAGCGACATCTGCTGCCTACCCTTGATTGCCGTGATTGCCTGTGCCATAAGTGACATTCCAAATGTTAAGAACATAAGTGATGATGTCATAATCTATGAAGTGAATGTTCAGGAACATGATAAGGCTCTCCATGCAGCGCTGACTCGTTTCCAAGAGCTGAACCTTACTCTTCGCAAAGACAAATGCCAGTGCTACATGCCTCGAATTGAGTTCTTTGGAATGGTCTTCAGTGCACAAGGAATGTCCCCTGACCCTGCTAAGGTCAAAGCAATTAAACAAGCTGACCCGCCAACCTCTGTAAGTGATGTCAGAAGCCTGCTTGGCATGACAAACTATGCATCGCGTTTTATCCGTAATTATGCAGACATCGTTGCTCCCTTGCGTGACCTCACCCACAAAGGCGTCAAATTCAAGTGGCAAGAAGTCCACCAAAAGGCCCTACACTAGCTGAAGTGCAGTCTCACCTCTGATGAAGTCATGGCTTATTTTGATCCTCACAGGAAAACTGTTCTGTTTGTGGATGCCAGTCCAGTTGGGTTAGGTGCTATGCTGAAACAAAGTGGCAAAGTGATCTCCTATGCCAGTAAGGCACTCTCCAGTCTAGAACGGCGCTACTCCCAGATTGAACGAGAAGCATTGGCCATCACTTGGGGTTGTCATCACTTCCGGATGTACTTGCTAGGAAGCCACTTTAAAGTGATAACAGACCACAAGCCCCTGTTGCATATCTTCAACAGTCCTACTTCCCAAGCTTCAGCAAGGATTGACAACTGGCGTCTGAAGTTGCAGTCATTTGATTTCGAAGTTCTGTACTCAAGAGGAGATTTAAATCCAGCTGACTACATATCAAGACACCTTCAAGCTGCCACGCAGTGTGACCTGATTGCTGAGTCTGCAGAGCAGTATGTTAACTTTGTCGTGACACAAGCTACACCCAAGGTACTAAGCAAAGATGATATTATCAAGGCTACAGCACAAGATGCCACTTTACAGGAAGTGATGCGTCTTATCTCAAATGGCCAGGGGAACGACCTGAAGCCAGTGAATGGAGTTGATCCAAGTACCCTTAAGATTTTTGCAAATGTTCGGAATGAACTTACCTCAGTGGATGGTAACATTGTCCTTCGTGGAAATCGAATTGTAATTACTGATGCTCTTCGGAAGCGTGTCATTGAACTGGCTCATGAGGGTCATCAAGGCTTAGTCAAGACCCGCAGTTTGCTGAGATCCAAAGTCTGGTTTCCAAAAATGGATGCTGCTGTTGACCAAGTCGTAAAGAAGTGCTTTCCGTGTCAGATTGCTACACCGAAACCCTCCCGGGGACCGTTGAAAATGACCCCTCTGCCTGATGGTCCTTGGCGACAGGTGAGCATTGACTTTTGTGAAGTAGCAGGACATTATGTTCTAGTAGTGATTGATGATTACTCAAGATTTCCTGAAGTTGAGATTGTGCATTCGACTTCTGCGGAAGCGGTCCTTCCTAAGTTAGATCGCGTATTTGTCGCTTATGGGGTGCCTCAGGTTGTCAAGTCTGATAACGGTCCTCTTTTTAATGGTCACGAGTTTGCCCAGTTTGAAGATTATCTTGGTTTCAAGCACCGTAGAGTTACTCCTCTGTGGCCAGAAGCAAATGGCGAAGTGGAACGCTTCATGAAAAAATTTGGAAAGGTGCTCCGTACAACTTCTAACTGGAAGCAAGAGATGTACCAGTTCCTGCGAAACTATCGAGCAACTCCTCATTGTACTACTGGTGTCGCTCCTGCCATTGCCCTCTTTGGAAGAGCAATCAGGATCAAGCTGGCCTGCCCTGTTGCTGTTCCATGTGAGTCAAACTTGAAACCAGCACTAATGCGTGAGCATGATGCCTACCAGAAACTCAAGATGAAGACTCTCGCTGAGAGCAGGAGACCTGTTAAGGATTCTGACATACAGTTTGGAGATACTGTGTTGGTAAAGCAACCAAAGACGGGGAAGTTCTCCACACCATACCATCCAGTACCACTAAAAGTCACAAACAAGGACCACAGTATGCTGACGGCTGAGGGAGGCGACCGGAGTGTGACTCGCAATTCTTCCCATTTTAAGAAGCTTTACCAAGACCATGCAGATCCAGTATCAGGTGACATCAACTCAAGTGCGGTCCCAGTATCAGTTGACACAAACTCAAGTGCAGACCCAGTACCAGTTGACACCAGCTGAAGTGCAAGTGCCCAAGCTGAACTCCCACTAAGGAGGTCTGCTCGTGTGTCTAAACCTCCCAGAACACTGATTCAAGAAATGTGACTACGGACATTTTTCTTTGTTGTTGTTGTCGAACTCATGTTATAGTGTTTTGATTATGAACATTCGAGAACATCTAAGGTTAAGTTTAAGTGACGTTCGGAGAACTTTACACTTGGTCAGGACGTTTTCCAGAGCAATAGTCTTATAGGACCTACTAGTATTCATTTTGCTGCATGCTTTTTTTTTTAGTAAGGTTAGATTATTATTTTGTTTCTTTTGTTTGTTCATGTTATGTTCCAAACTAGAGGTAAGAGGAAATGTAATGTTTACGTCACGTGTGGCGCGACGCGCGAAGCATGCCGCGGTTTGTTGAGAATATAGTGAGTTGTTGAACATGTGCTCGACTGTCGTGTCTTGCTAATTCACTTTGTGTAGAATAACAACCCATTACAAGTTCAACGGTTACGATTGCCTTCAAACTTGCAGATGTAAAACTAGAGAGCTTTGAGGCTTATTTGCTGAAGTTAGGGAAAAATCTGTTGTGGGATTTCGAAGTTATTTACATTTTTCGTAAAAATGTGGTTTTAAATAGATGTCGATATCTCAAAGGTTTTTATATTTACAAGAAAAAAAATAACATTTTCTTGAAGTTCCATTAGTATTTATTTGGTATGCTAAAAATCATAGAAATCGGTTAAATCTTTCATTCTGAAAAACGCAAATCAAAAACATATCCAACACGCATATAAATAGGTTCGGGTCACCTTAAGTGTTATTACTGACATTCTGTGGAGCAACTGTTATGGACCAAAAGACACTCTCTAAGCGCAGATGAAGATGTAAGGTGCTTATAACTATGTATTTCTATATACTAGTGATAGTTGACATTACAGCTACCCACGCACCCTCTGTACATGTTGTCGGTCAATATAATTCTTAAAAATTCGTAAAACTTGTGGATGAAATGATGCAAAGTAATTATTTATGTGTTATTTTACATCTTAAGGTGTTTCGCTACAGTTTTTCAGAGACCATACCGATCTTTTTCAATCGCAATAAAAGTGTTTTTTTCCTTGTCCGATCGCTATAAAATTTTCACCAGTAATTGCCTATGGATTGAAATTTGTGAAAATGTGGTCTTAAGTTAAAAGCGATATTACTATGACAACAATCAACAAAAAACTTTGAAATTGATAAAAGCTGAATTTTATGTGAATCTAGCTAGACCAGCTACTGAAAATCCAACACTAGGAACGTAAAGTTTGGTGTTAAGCAAACAATTTCCGTAAGAAGTAAAAATTCTGTATGTTTGAATTCGACAATAATCGAAAATATATTTCAAACCTTAAATTTTCAATTGCTGGTTTTCACATGACGTCACTAAAATTCAAACTACAAAACTATCGATCCTACCGAGATTTTACTTTCACGATGTATTAGAGCAGCTGAAAACTAATGGTCATGGTCTCATGGTCCTTCATAAAGAAGTTTGCAGTCTATTCAAACCGCTGAAGCTACGCTCAGCTGTGCAAATTGACACAGGATAAGTCAACAACGTTATGAGAGCTACCGGAAAAGAATTGGAGTTGGCTTGGTCAAAAGTCTCAACCAAGGTCTGTGGCTTCACATTCGGATCCACTTCACTCCACTTAATCAGTAAAAGGATGAAAGAAATCCTAATACAAAAACACCAATATAATTCGAAATATTTTCTCAAGTAGTGGTGTCTGAGCCGAATTAGCAGAATTTTGGGGGAGCTAAAAGTGGGGAGTAAAATATAATAAATGCGTCGTGAATAAAATGCGCGGGAAACTTGTTTAATTTATGCTAACCATGTTAGGCAAGTACTAGTAAGTAATGACGTCACAATACCATAAGGTTCATTTGATAGTTTAGCAAGCCTGTTGTTCTTTGAACATGAAAGCCCACTACTTTTCGTCAAACCCTTTCGTAGCTTAATTTTGGAGGAAAAAAATCGAACTAAAAGATTTAATAGAGGTTGTATTTTTTTGTTGTTGTTACGATGGCTTTCATCAACAATTACGATATTAAAGCGAAGCGCCGTTAGTCAGTTAATTATGGGAGTTA